TCATCAGCTGATAATTAACAGAAATAAAAACACAGTTTAACATTTCCTTCAGTAAAACAATAAAACTTGTTTTAAACAATAAAAGTCTGTTTTTATTGACTGATGTCTGAGAATCAAACGGAACTTTATTTAAACAGTGAACACAAACAGCCTGTGCCATGTCAACACTCAGCTCCGCCACTGATTGGCCGACAGTCAGCAGGTGGCAGCTGATTGGTCGGCCTATGTTTGACGCCGTTTGCTCTGCGGCAGCTCTGGTTGCTCGGTGTCTCTGAAGCCATCTGCAGTGATCTGGTATTGGACGGTGGTGTCCATGTGACTCGGAGATTTAAAGATGGTCGCCAGGCGCCGTGGCCCCTCCCAGTGTAGGAGGAGCCTGATGGTGGGGGCGTGGCCCCAACTCTCCCCGAGGGCGGGGACCAGCTGTGATTGGCCACCTCGTAGCCTTGTGGTCATCTGATTGGTGATCACTACGGCGATGTGTTGGCTTGTTGCCATGGTGATGAGGTGCTGGGCGACACCGTTGAGGAGGCGTGTCCTCTGCGACAGCTCGTCTAACAGCCGCCGGAACGGAAATGCCACACTGTCAACCACCAGGAGGCGGACTTTCGGCCGCGCCGACAGGAAGTCGGCCAACAGGTGAAGCTCAGCCAGCAGCTCCACGTAATCACGGCAACGCACCTGAGGGTGAAATAGCCAATCAGAACCATTCTACTGCATGATGACATCACTGCAGCCCAACAACCGCCCATCATTACCAGGAAGATGTTGGATAGGATGGTCTCCACGGTGAAGGTCTCCATGGCGACACGTTGCTCCTCGTCTTCAGCCAATAAGGAGCAGTGTCTGACGGCGGCAGCGGCCATGTCGACAACCCTCTGAAGCAGGAAGCTGCCCTCAGTGTCCACGTAGATCACATGACCCTCGACGCCCCCAAAGCACCGCGGCACCTGGACGTCAACTGCCAGCTGCAGGCTGAGAGGGGGCGGGGCTAATCAATAACCAATACCTTATTGATCCGCAACAAGCCCCATGAGGTCATCAATAACCCCGCTCCCTGTGTGTGTGTGTGTGTGTCTGTGTGTCTCTCTGACCAGAGTTGTGTCTTTCCTGCTCCAGGTGCTCCACAGATCTCGGTGGTTTTCCCGACAGGTACTCCTCCTCCTAAAGCCTCATCCAGCTGTGAGGAAAACGTCACAATGCTCTTTAGCTCCGCCTCCTTCTGCAGCAGCTCCAGTGCAGTGACTCCGCCTCCTGCTGCGTCTGCACTTGCTGCCTGTAGCACCTGCAGCGCCTCCTGCTGCGACACACCGGCCTCTGCAACAGATCAGAGACCAGACGATGCTGAAAAGACGTCAGAGTTCACCTGCAGAGGAAGACCAGGTGAGACAGCGTCCAGCCAGGTGAAGGTAAACGTGCACATCAACCTCTGAACTCAGAACGACGGTTTGAATTCCTCAAATTTTACATTCACTTAAAGTTACAATATGAACGTATCTGATAAGATCTATTGGACTGAACCCTGTCTACAGATGGTTCTGGTAGGTTCTGGAGGTAAACGGTCCTTCCATTGTCTAGAACCGGTTCTGAACAGCCACCATCACACATGCTGACATGAGCCTGGAAAGTTTACCCAGAATGCACTTTGTAAAGTTTCTTCTGGTGACTGATCAGAACCAGAACCACATCCAGGGTACCAATGATTGTTTCTATGACTCTGTGTCATAGACATTAAACTGGTACCACTATGATCCATCCCATAATACTGATGCTACCAGCTGCTGACAGAGGACATGAACAGAACCAGGTCCAGTGTTCAGACTGAGACACCTGGATGGATGTAGAACTGATCTGGTGTCAGGTTCTAGCAGAACCCAGATGTGTTCTTCCTCCTAAATGTCATGTGTCTATCTGCTGTACTGATGAAGTTCTGAGGCTCAGAAATGATGGAAAAAGTCCATTAAGGTGATCAATCTGGACCCTCCTCTGTGGACTTCAAGGACCTGGACCTCTGGAACATTCACAGTCTGAAGGTAGAACTCTGGTCAGTAGATAGAGGTGCTGCAGAAACAGAACCAGATGTTCTGAGGAGGTTGGTTCTGGTTCCGTTGGGTTTTTGTTTTAGAATTACAGCTTAAAGACAGAATCTGAGTTGATTGGATTAAAGGTAAAAACACATTTTCTACTTCGTGATGAAAACCTTCCTGAACCACCAGAACCATGAACTGTTATGAACTGCAGGATACAGAGACTCAGGATCCACCGGCCTGGTTCTGGTCCAGATGTAAACCTCATCGGTTTGACTTCTCACCGACACAATAAAAGTCGGATGAAAGTGAAAAAGATTTTCCGGAAGAATCAAGAACGTTTAAAAGTTCTCCACCGGTTCTGGACCATGACAGCAGAACGTTTCCTTCAACATTCATCTGACGGACTCTGGAGGTTCTGAAGAACCCTGAACTCGCTGCTTTCTGTTCACCGACTCAAGCCGGCGCAGTCCGCCGGGCTGCGGTGCGCTGGAGGCGGCTACCTGCGCTCAGCTGCCCCGGCCGGAGGTGCAGCAGGTCGGTGGTAAACTGGAAACCAGCGCGGACCAGTTTCAGCTTCACGCTGGGACTGAGACACAAACTGGACACCGGTCTGAGCATCTTCAACCTCCCGCCATGACAGCTGTCCCAGCATGCACCTCACCGGGGAGCAGGGCGGGATTTTCAACGTAAGAGCCGCGAGCTGCGCGTCAGCGTGAAGCTGGAAACACCAGAACTCCACAGGATGGAATCTGGACCAGAACCAGTCCCGCTGTGCTTATTTACTGTATTTGTCCTGACAGTGTTATTTATGATTAAAAAAATATTCTGTTTAGGTCACAAATGTCGTAAATCAAGACGACAGAAAACTAATAAATCCAAAGACCGGAAGTCCTGAAGAGAAGCTTCCCAACATCCGCTGCTCACTGCTCTGGGCTCAGCTTCTGCTTTATTTCCCATAATGCACTGTGCTGGTGTCTTATTGCTTCTCTGTGAATCACTGCATGTAAAGATTTTTATTTTATTCTTGCTCAGCAACCTGCAGTACAGGTGACAGGTCACGTGTTGTACGCGTTAATCAGCCGATGGTCGGTTGTTTGGTTGCTGTGAGGTTTCAATAATCTCATGTGATCACAACTGTCAGGAAATAAAACCTGTTTCCTGTCGCAGCACCAAGTGTTTTATTCTGAAGGCCTCACCGGAAGCTAGGAGCGCTCATCTTCGTTTCCTGATGCAGAGTGTCGTCATTCAGACGCGACAGCTTGTGCACGTGAGGCGCTGCGGCGGAGTTTTGGTCCTGAAAGTGAGGTTTGATGTGAATCTACCGGATTGTCTCTTCAGCTGACGACTGACCGGGTTTCCGGTATTCAGTCAGAACTTCAGGGTTCCGACTCCTTTGACCCGGAACTGTCCGAGTCGGACCGAAAACACGAACCACGTTCAGGTGTGGTCAGTTTCGGTCCGAAGAATCTGCGGCAACGTGTTTGTGTCTGAACCAAAGAGAAACGTTTCCTTCTTGTTACTATGAACAGAGAAATGAAGCGCGGAGAGGAGGAGGAGGAGGGGCGCGAGCCCACAGGTGAGGAGGAGGAGGAGGAGGGGCGCGAGCCCACAGGTGAGGATGAGGAGGAGGGGCGCGAGCCCACAGGTGAGGAGGAGGAGGGGCGCGAGCCCACAGATGAGGAGGATGAAGGTGAGGACGATGAAGAGCAGAAAAACAAAGATGGCGGCGATGAAGATGCTGCTACCACAAAGAAGACCGTGTGTGCAGACAGGAAGTGTGTTCCAGGTATCCTCTACCTGGGTCACATCCCTCCGAGGCTCCGCCCCAAACACCTGAGAAACCTTCTGTCAGTTCACGGAGAGATTGGACGCGTCTTCCTACAGCCAGAAGGTACAAATACTACAGAGTACACACTGTTACCACAGAGTACACACTCATACTACAGAGTACACACTGTTACCACAGAGTACACACTGATAGTACAGAGTACACACTCATACTACTGAGTACAGTCCTGTGATTTCACTGAACTGTCACGAGTCTGACCCCTCACAGTAATCAGATTACCTCTAACAGCAGAGTATTTCCTCAGAACAGTCTGAGCTCCACACTAGAACCTCAGGGTTCTGCTCAGGTGGATGCTGGAGAACATCCTCTGGTCAGATGGAGATCAATGTGTTGGGCTTACATGGAGTCCAGATGTTTGGTGTGAACCTGACCAGGACCACCACAGTGGATCATGGTCCTGACAGTGAAGCACGGAGGTGGCAGCATCATGATGTGGGGCTGCATGAGGGCAGAAGGTGTTGATGACGTTTCTAGAAGCTCCATGAATGTCCTATTGCTCAACTGAGGAGTAATCTGATTACTCTGAGATGATAGTTGTGTACTTTAATACTGTAAATGCTGCAGCACTCTGAGGCATCTGGTCTGTGTGTTGGTCCCTCAGACAGCCAGGTGAGGAGGAGGAAGAAGAAGTCGGGATTGCGCAGATGCGACTTCACTGAAGGGTGGGTGGAGTTCAGAGATAAGCGGGTGGCGAAGCGAGTGGCGGCGTCGCTGCACAACACGCCGATGGGAACCAGGAAGCGGCAGCGGTTCTCCTCAGACCTGTGGTGCATCAAGGTACAGTCTGCTCTGAGCTGCTTCTACCTTCATCGTCTGATCGAGCCTGAAACGCTCCACACCTGTCTGTCTGTCTGTCTGTCTGCGTCCAGTACCTGCACAGGTTCCAGTGGACTCACCTGAGCGAGCGCTTGGCCTACGAGCAGACAGTGCTGCAGCAGAGACTCCGAACCGAAGTGTCGCAGGCCAAGAAGGAAACCAGCTTTTACCTGAACAATGTGGAGAAGAGCGCTCACCTGGACAAGCTGAGGAAGAAGAGGCAGAGAGACGGAGAACAGGTGAGCTCTGCAGGTTACGCCCACACCACACCTGCACAGGTTCAACTCTGTATAACTTTATTTGTCTTGTCAGGTGGACGAGAAGACGTGGGACTTCACTCAGCGTCAGACAGAGGAGGAGATCCAGAGGAAGAAGAAGAAGAAGAAGGACTTGCTTGCCCAGAAGCACCTGGACAAAGCCCGCCTCCTCCAGCAGAAGAGCCAATCAAACGTCTCACTGCTGGCCAAGATCTTCAACTCCAACCAATCAGAGAGACAGCAGGGAGGTACCTGATTGGCTGTTGGACTGTTTTCAAAGACACTTTGTGGTAAACGCTGTAACGCCCACCATCAGCAGCCAATCACAGCTGAGAAGGAGGCGGAGCCAACGACCCTGGATCCAGTCAGATCAAGAGGCGTTCACATCGTCGTTCTTCAGGACGAGTGACTTCCACACTTTGAGAATCTGCAGCTGAACTCTGGTTGTGATTCCAGGTTCAGATTCTGCAGGTTAACTCCTCATAGCTGTGGCTCCAGATGTCTTTCATGCAGTTCCTTCAGGTTCCTGCATGAACTTTAGGCTGGTTTGGACTTTCTACAACCACTAATAATTTTTTTGATATTCTGTAGAGATTTTGTTTTTTCCTTGTATGATATCAGATTTTGTCAGTGTTACTCCAAATAAACAAACATTTAAGGTAAACATAAACAATATGTTTCCCAAAGATGACAGACGTCTTGTTTTATCCAGAGATCTTCCGTTCATGTCTCAGACGAGGAAAGAAACCAGAAAACATTCATATTCAAGAAGCTGGACAGTTTTTATGAAAAAACTCCTTAATTATTATCGATACAGTGAGTTTACTGAGTCGAGCTTGTTTGTCTGCTGAATTAAAACCTGACTGCTCCTGTCTCCAGGCGGTCTGGACTCAACGAGTCTCGTTTCTTCGTTCTAGTCGATTAGATTCAGGCCAAAACGGTAAAATGAACGTCTGCAGAGCTGAAGATGCTCAATACGATCATAGAAACTGAAAGAAAGGATCAGCTAATCAGTTGTCTAATTGCACCTTAACAGCAAACGGCTCATCCAGAGGAAGGACACACATGGTACCTGATCAATGACTCATTAATTATTAACGAGGTCAGGAAACAGATCAGCTTTCAGCCATCTTTATTTTCACAGAACAAACGGTCCACACGACGCATGTAGAAAAACCCTTTACGTCACTGTGATGTCGCTGTGAGGTCACAGTGACAGGGAGGAGGGGGCGGGGTCAGGGCTTGTTTCAAGGCACTGTATCATATGAACATAGAAACAGGTGAGGGCAGGGGAACAGGTGAGCTGAGGATGTCTCGGGTTCAGCTCCACAGATCAGTTCTGTCGTCAGCAACAGTGACAGGAAGCTACAGTGTGCTTTTCTAATAAAACTCATCGTCATCAGGAGTCTCTGATCAGTAATCAGTAATCAATAATCCTGTCAGAGGTACAGCAGGAGGCGGCAGACAGGCAGGAACACAGGAACTCAGCAGAAACCCACAGAGAAAAATAACAGAAAACAAAGACGTGACTGGAACGTGTAGCATGTTCTGGACAATCTGAGGCCGAACCCAAACATGTCTCCTCTGAACCTCTGCAGTCGGACTCAGTACCAGCAGATGGTTCTGATCTGTAACTCGGGCAGAACGGGTTCAGGTTGAACTTACAAACATATAAAATACTACAGACTCATCTGCCAATCAAACATCAGCTGTCAGAAGACCAATGAGTCTGATCGGAAACGTCATGATCTAAACTCGACCCTGAGGAACACCTGAGGAACACCTGAGGAACACCTGAGGAACACCTGAGGAACCTGCACCATGAAGCAGGTTCGACCCAATTACTGTTGCCATGGTGATGTTCAGGTGATCTGAACAGTGATCCTTTAAAATTCTTTGATTAATGTAAAACAGAACACGACAAAGCTGCCAGGTCCGTCCAGGTGGGTCTGTCCAGGTATGTGTCTGTCTAGATGTGTCCGTCCAGGTGTGCTTTTACCTGCCTGTTAGTCACAGTTTAGATGGAACTGATGTATGACGCAGATTTGAAAACACCTGCAGAAACTGTGGAGTTACAGCTGCTACAAACATGACGGCAGATCAGGTTTGGATCCAGCCTCAGAGGACATCAGCCAATCAGCCAATCA